TTTTAGCTATACGAAAGGAAAACATTGACGGTTTTAGTTAGACTGGCTAAAAATCGTTCTTAAACCAGCAGAATGTGTTTACACATTTTGCAAACCGCATTATTTGGAATCGTTGAACTTACCGCAATATTCCGAATAATACGGATTTTTTCCCGTTTTGTATCTTCAACATTTATCTCAGGCCAATCGTAATGGTCTGAATAACTTGTACTGACTTCGGGAGTTGACGATTCCGATTTATTTAGCAAATAAATGTCGCATTTATCTGGAGATAAATCATTAGGTTCACATCTGGAAATTTGAAAATTCAATATTTTATGGAGTAAAGGGAATCCTAATCCTTACCTGGCAGCGATATAAGTTTCACAATTATGTATGGACTTCTCGATTGGTGTACTTGATATTATTGCTGCTAGAAATGATATCATAATACAGTTGACTAATTATTATTGTTAATCGGAATTTGTTCAAACGAGCAACAAAAACCAAGCACTAAACGGAACCCAACTTATTAATTCACCAAAATAAAACTGAACCTATTTTTAATTTGCCTCGTATTTACCTTCTTTCTCTCCATTAGCATTATTATGTACCATTGCCTTTACAATTATGCGGTTGGAAACTACTGATGTTGACAAGTTGTCTAAAAAAGTGTCATGAAAAAGTGTATTGAAAAATCAAAATCACGAAATATATTCCATACCGTTCACACCTGTAATTGCATTGCTTTGCAAAGGCTCTTTTGCAGAATTTTCCATAATGGGTTCTGCCAGTAAATTCTCAATTTTAGGTGCTTTTTGCGAATCAACGCGTTTAAGGTACCAGTATTCTTAAACTACAGAGGAAGCTAAAAGTCTGGACGTTCAAAATGTTTATCAGCTTTGCATTTTTCTTTGTTTTTTCTTTCGCTTCATCTGGGAATGTGGAAAACAAAAAAAACTATAGAATGTTCTTATTTTGCTATAAATGCTGAATACCTTCCGATTTGGTTTCTACGCAGTTTTTCGAATCCAGGTTCAACCGCTTGTATTTCTGCTTTAGGGAAACTTTCTGAGTTAGCTGCTCTCTCACTGATTTCACAGTGCTTTTTGGGTTTTTCAATTTTTAACCCGTTTGCTTTGTCCATTTTAGAGTCTAAATTAATTTTTATCAAATTGCGTTTTGTATTATATCACTTTTAGAACGCTTGAAAATTCACCATTTTTTTGAGCAGCTGTAATTCCTTCAATGTTGTCTGTTTGCAAATAATTTTTATTATTACACTTTGGAGACTTTGCGGGCTCACTGATGAACTGATTTCGTTTTTCTTGCGCGTTTGGGTTTGCTTTCTTCTACGGTTATTGCTAAATTTTTCGCTTTGGTATCTAATAGTGAACAATTTTCAGGGTATCAAGTTATATAATATTTCGCGTTGTTTATTTACCACTTGTGGGTATTTTCTTGGGTAAAACTTCCATCGAAATGATTTGTTCTGAAAACCCCATTTTTTTATTAGCGTTAGGAGTTTCCTGCCAAGAATGTTCTAGAAAATGTACTTACGACCCTTACCTTTTATTAATTCAGCCTTAGGATTCAATTTCGTCGTGTGTAATTTATTAGAAGCTTTACTAGTGATTCCCTGTGCTGACCGATTTTTCGACTTGGGTTCCGACTCGTTAATCGCCCTCTTCTCTTTATTGCTTTCGAGGCTCATGTCTAAAACCAAATGTAAGAAAATAACCACTTGTTTTTCCAAATTCGCCAAAGCTATAGTTACGCTTTTCCTGCCATGTAGGAGCAGTCGATGGTATCTGTGGACTTAAATCATGATCGACTTCATTTTCCCGCACTATAGCTTTTGTTCCAGTGTTGATATTCTTGTCCATCTGATTTTCTTCTTGCTCGTCAAGGTCTTCTAAACTTGCCTTTGGAATGGCACCGTCCATAACTAAGAGCGGTTAGAATAAATTTTGCGAATTTCTTATATTTTACAAAAATGCACCTTGTTTTAACTCAGAGGTTCTGTTCTGAACTGAATTTGCTGAAACCTGAGAATTGGAATCCTGGTTTTTCTAAAGTTACTTTCTTCTCAGACATCGCTTGGCTAACTGTTTGCTCTTTATCATCTTCCAATGTTGGAGTTGGCTTGTCGGCTGGCAAATCTGGATGAGAATCAATTTTAAATTACAATTTGACAAATAGTTGCATCGACGTTTTTCGGAACCAGTGATTCGTTTTTTTTCACAAAGGGACAGGTTTTGGTGAACATAAATAATAACTGAATATACCGCTCTTTTGTATTCTTACATCCGCAGCTGCAGAAATGACTAAATTATCTTCTAATGCAATTTCACTGCTAGATTTTGTCACAGTGGACTTTTGCTCTTCAAGCCTTTCTACTCTTGGTTTTACAATGTCTTCTTTCTGGGCTGAATGAAAATAAAGATCAGTATTTTTGCAAAACATTATTGGCCTTTTGAACCAGTTGAGTTGAGTGACCTTGATCCAACAAAACATGATATTGTGGCTCTTTAGTAATATCCGGAATTGCCACCGGGATTCCAGAATCTGCTTTTTCTTTCAACGCAATTTTCCTCTTATTAGTCTTCGATTTTGTGTTTTTCACTTTAGCAACGCGTTGTATTTTTTGCTTCGAATTATCTGGTCTCTGAATTAGTACAGTCTCAGAAGCGATTCGACAATCCATCTCCTGCAGCAATTCAAATGCCTGACTTTCAGCAGGATTATGGGTGATTTTTTTGTGTTTAGAAAATTTTTCCGGCTTTATGACTGAGTCCTTTTGAACAGGCGCTAATTCTGAAAAAAATGTCGGTATTTTGCATAAAAACTATTAATTATAACGTGAACCTACTAGTCTCAGAAATAAGTCTTGAGCGGTTCTTAGGTAGATTATGCCCAAAATCACTTGCACACACAGAACATWCCCACCRTAGAGAAAGTAAAATAATATTTTACTTACTCTATGATACCCACATAGGGGGATATTTTGTGCTTGCACAATTAAWTTTCATCTTTATCGATGACACAGRCCATAGCCTAGATARACACAGAAAGGAGATCTGTGTGCAATGTTTGACAACAACGCCATACTAGACATATTTTACAATATTTATAGGGATTTAGAAGCTCTAATGTTGGCAACGTTGAATTGAAATCAAGCATCATTTCCGCTTGTGTCGTCGTATTTCGCATTTCTCCTTCCATGAGTAAAGTGAACGATTGCTGTATTACACTATTTTCGGAAATACAGTAAATTAATCATGTCCTACAATACAAGAAGAAGCAACATGGGCTACGGTAAGCAATTGGTTTTGGCATCTCACCGCTTTCATTAGTTTTCATTATGTAGCTTACATGCAATTCCAAAATGGTGGGCGAAATAATGGAGTGTTTCATTTTTACCCAGGTGCACCTCAGCAAAACAATCCTATGGGGCAAAGGAGGCCACCAGCAGCACCAAACAGCTTCTTTGTTTCCGGTGGTCAGGTAAGAATATTTATCAATATTTTACATAAATCCTATATTATTATATCTAAGTAAGAAAGTGCGTTGTTTGTTGAGGTTTTGAACAAAGCTCGCGGTTGCTTATGAACGGAACCCCAATGGGAGGATCGCTTTCAATAGCCTGGTTTCTTGATTAAGATACTTTTTCATGTGTTAAATGCACAGTTCTATTGTATTTTAAATGAGATTCATTAGCGGCCATTTTGCCCTCATAAGGATCAATGATAGTTGTCTGCACATTGTTGCCAAGTTTGCTGCTAAATGCTTAATATCAAGCAAATACCCATTTTCTAGTTTAACGCTCCCACGTGTTCGAAGGTAAGGGGATGCTAACTTAAAGATTATCCCTTTACTAACCACTTTTCTTAGCGGCGTCTCTTGTGAAAATGCGTTTTTAATTTAACATTTTCCACGCCTGTGAAATTTTCGAGCGTGCATGGAGGTTTGAGAGCGTAAACGAAGGTGGCTGCTAAGGGAGAATTGCGACCTTGAATGACCAAAAAGTGGTCAACAATCTCAATTTTCCAAGAAAAATTAATAAAGAAAGTTGTTAAAAACTGATTAACTGCATAGTAAACAAATTTTTAACTTCAAACGCGAGAACTCAAACCAGAAATTTACGAAACCTCAAATGCAAAACATGGGATCAATTAGAAATGGGTTGCTTGAGAATGGGATTCAGATACAGTGTCAGATATTTCAACTGCCCGCGTTACACAATTAAAATTTTTAGATCAGGATTTTTAATTATTAGCATTTCACACTAAACTTATAATTCTCTTGCGTTTTTTTTTGTTCGAGCATAAAGCAATCAATAGTAGCCAGCGCGGTATGAAATGTCCTGGTGATGTACAATAGAAATTTATCCGCGAAACAATGGCAATTAAATTATCTAACGCTGTATCATTTAGATCCATTTACCAGCACACATCATTAGAGGGAAAATATCTAACTGCTAACGAGGCAACAGTAAATCAAGAGGATTTCAAATGTGTTTTATTGTATATTACAGTATAACCTCTGTAATCCGAACTAATTATTGCAAAGGCAAATTCGGATTAACGCATTTTTTTGTATGTACAAACATACATAACACACATGTGGGAATCAAGTCGGTGTTAAAAAATAGCGAATTTAGTTGGTTTAGTTTCTCTTTGATCTGTCGGAAACATTCAAAGCTCATTCAAGCTCTGACGAAACAACTTCGTCCGTTTCGTCAGAGCTAGAGAGATTAGTTCATCTTGAACATGTTCCAAAATATCCATATCGTTTATGGATTTTGTAATTAATAACTTCCTAATGTGTAAAATCCCCGCCAATTTGGTTTAACAATCCAGTAACACCCGTTATTTTTTACCGATGTCTGCTAATGCAACTATGCTTCCACGCGGACATGGAAGAAAGTCTTCTTTATCGCTTGAATCGCATTTCGGTCCATGTCCATTCCAGTTCAGTTTGGTGGCAAAACGTTGCGGATAAACGAATTTTTTGGACTATAGCGACAGTTTGTGAACGTTCGGATTAAAGGGGTTTTGCTGTAATACAAAGTATATCATGTAACTTTTCCTGACTGTATTTCCAATTTCGACACAAACAACGTTCCTGGTCATTTATTCAGGTTATCACAATTTAGTAATTAGATAAAAGTAAGATGGTGGAAAAACACCGAAACGTTTTTATTTTTAATTAATGACTAAATTGTGATAACCTGAATAAGTAACTGAAACCCAGGAACGCTGTTTGTGTTAAAATATGAAGTATATTTATCTATAATGTACTAACATAAATTTTTGGTATTTAGGTGTACAGAGCCATACAGAGCCATGGTAGTTGCACATATATAGGCACCTATTTGTATTGTGTTCATTAGAAATCTGATTAAACTTCCTTACAATTTCAATTCATCCTTGTCTAGTCATAGAGATATACATGTGGGGAATGAATTGATTTTTATTGGAAATTTAAGCAATTCTCTTTGAACAACACATGTATCTTGACTGCATATTGTGTGTTTCTTATTTTGTTGTTAACTTTCGATTCTGCATCCTGGCAGTATCTGAGTAACAGCGTACAGGTTTAACACTGTGTTAGTTACGAGCAATTGAACGCATGGTTATCTACAAAAGAGTAACCGCGCTTTATTTCTCTTTAACTGCCAGTGTTTTAGGTAAACAATTTAGAGTCAAGATATGAAATTAAATAGATATCTTTAACTGCATGTTGTGTTTGAGGATAGTTAAAGTGCCACGATCAGAACCAAACTAATAATCGCTCGATTTTACGTAGTGGTAATTTTAACTATCAACATATCTCAGTTAAAGATGCACCTATATGGGTGCCTCACACCGTCGAGGGTTTAATATTTAATGATAAATTTAACCCTGCTCGTATAGCTGTCTGGCTCACAACAAAAACCATTAATGAAGGGGCCAGCATATCAGCAGCCAAGAATGACTCAGGCTCCTCAAAGACCCCCACATCAGAATGTCCAGAACTTTAATGCTCAGGTAACGGAAATCAACGTGTACGTTTTGATTTGTTTTCTAGTGTCATATGGAGCAGTACTTTATTCTCTATCATTGAATCAAAGTTTTACAACCTGTGACAAAGCAAATTGTTCCAAAGAGTAGGTTTTTGACAATGTGTCGTGAACTGTACTGTCGGATCAAACATTAAAAACTATGTACCGTTATAAAAGTAGTAATAAATGCAGGGTTTTGCAACCAAGACGGGGTGGGAGACTGCGGCGAACTGGAATGTAATTTGTAATTTGATATTATATCAATAGTGACCATCCATTAAATTATTTTCGTTACACAAGATGCCTGGCAAACCAAACTTATGGTTCTTTTAACAAAACACATCCCGTATCAATATATTCGTTCCATTCCAATCAATTTTAATGAATGTTCACTATTGATACCAATATCGCATAAAAAATCATTTGAAAATTACACACCAGTTAACTACAATCTTCCACATCTTTGTTGCACCACCATGTATACGTTATATGTCAGAGATCAGTCTGTATTTTCGTATACAGATCACACCATTTGAGATTGGAAAAACAAGTTTCTCGTTTTTTTTTCAGGCTCAACAACAGCAGACCCAACAAAATCAGACGCCAAACATTCAGCAGAAACAGGTACATAATTAATCTACATTTGTCAATCAATCAAAGCATATAGAATACAACTTCAAGCATTAAAATCATTATGAAATGTCAGCAATTTGTTCAACATGATGACGAACTTATTTCTTTCGCGGTTTCCACCAGAGAGGTTTCCCTCGTTGATGGCCAAGAATGTCTGATTCTTCCAACGTTACACCAAACTTTTGGCATTGTTCTTTAAGTTCTCAATCGTTGTTTATTTATCTGCTTAGGCCCGGCCTCAGGAACCTCAATCAACTCCAGTTCAACCGAAACCAAGTCCTTCGGTTCAGCAAACTCCCCCTCCTGTAGAACCGCCAAAAGCAGCTACTACAGTTTCACCAACGCCTGTAGCAGCACCAACGCCTGTAGCAGCACCAACACCTGTACCTGCACCAGAACTGGCACTCGAACCTCAAACGGCTCCAGTTGAGGTATCCAATCCTCCTCCATCTCTGGGTCCAACCGAAGACTACATGGACTTGGAAATGGATAACAAAAAGAGATTGTTTTGGAAGAAAGGTTTGTAAAAAAGATTTCAACATTTCAGCAATCAAAACTGTAACCTAAATACAGCTTTTTTATGCTTTAAATCCTTGCCAACACATGAATGATGACAACTCACTGCGCAAATTTGAAGCATGTTTAAACATTGTATTGAGAAGCTTTATAGTTCTCTACATTAACGTGCACTGTGAATTACAGTTCTGATACATTTCCCTTTCAATGCAACATCCCATATAATTGAAACTTGTCGCATTACATAGTGAAGATTGATTTTTATTTGCTACAGGTAACAAGATTTCCAAAGCTGAAAAGCTCCGCAAGCGTAATTTGAGATTGAGCAAGATTCTGCAGCCAAAGAGCGCCATTATGATCCTCAATGAGTTGGTGAAAGGATGTTCTTACAATGTCGAAGAACTCCCTGTTAAAACCGATGCTGCTCACTTTAGAAGTATTGTTAATTTTGATGGACAGGAGTTTGCTGGCACGGGTAAGTTGTGCTTAATATTTGTTTTTCCACATGGAGTCAGCAGAGCAAGAGAGTTTCATATTTTGCTTAGCGTTACACCTGTGGAAGATTAAAGTATAAACTGATACTCCGACTTAACCGTTTTGGTTAACCGGTTGAATATCGGCTTTTTACTATGCTCTTGAGAGTCGGCGTATATTCGGTAAATGAATTAGGCCATAGTATCAGAGCAAACATTGCAATATTAAAACATTCGCATTAGTGTATATATGTTCTTTTAAAATACAAACGCTCGATCTTTGCAACATGTACAATAATTATAGGACGCACGAAAAGCCTAGCACGGAATGCTGCTGCAGAAAGAGCTTTAAAGTATCTGGTCAAGAATAAGAAAATGACTTCGACGAAAAAAGAAGGAGCCGATGCCGATGGTGATTGGAAGATGGAAGTTGATGGAGAAGACAATCAAACATTGCCATGGTCACATATTGCTTCTTTTGCTATGTATAAATTGTTTTCCACTTGGGGAGAAGATCGTTTGTTCCAGAAAGAGATGGTAAATTGCTACTGTTCAAATTTCATCAATTTTTCGTCACTTAATTAAAATCGTAAAATATAAAAAAAATAGTTTATTGATTCGATGAATTAACCTACACATTTTTTCTTTGTTCTGCCAGACTGATCCATCAGACTTAATTTTGAAAGTGAATGCTGGTCCCAAGGAACCAAAACCTGCTAAAAAAATGCCCGAAAATCCCGAACTCATGAACCCGTTAATGTTGATGCATCAGATGATGCCGACCGCCGTTTGGCAAGAAGTTGAGAGTAAAGGAAATCCACCAAATGTAATATTCACGTTTTCTTTATCCATCGAGGGAAAGCAATTTATCGGATCTGGTAAGTGTTGTCTTAAATAACCATTATTGTTTCTATACAATGAGGAAAAACTACTATTATTACATACATAAAATTAAGAAGTTTTCACGTTTAATAGTCAGTTAATAGGAGATTGTTTTTTTGTTGCAATAGGTTCAAGCAAAAAGGCTGCTAAAAAGTTAGCAGCATTTGCAGCATGTCACGACGTTCTGCAAGTTCAATATCCTCCGGATATATGGACTCCAGTCTAATGCAGCTGAGTTTCATGTAGGTTTTTCATTTGCTGCATCTCTAAGCTTCTCTAAATTAGGGTACAGAGAGGATGTATGATCCATACAATTATTTGAATAAGTTTGTGTTATTTAACGATGGCGACCTGTTACAAGATAGAAGTAATTACAAATTATCTCATTTGTATTCGAAAAGTTAGTTGATGCAGATAATGGTTGCAATATTATTCGCATATGTGATTCTGATGATTACTTCATTATAATACAATTTATAATTTTTTTATTTCAACTTTGGGACATATTAGTTGCTATAAAGAAAGTCTATATCATGCTGATACAAAGTTAATGGTATCGTACTGCGGTATTAAATTTGTTTAATGTATATGGACGTATTATAATGAGGAATAAAATATCTTGTATATAACTTTTTTACTCTTCCTTTCGGGTGACTTTCACTTACCTTGCATTTAATTACCTAGTGGAGTTTGATGTTTCGGGAATTGGATAAAAATAGTTTATTTGTATAAAAACAGGTTGGAGTATTACAGTTGCAATTCCGACTGGAAGACATTTTCTACAATGTCATTAATTTCAATTTCTCTTGCTACCGTTAGCAGGCATTCATTTAATAGGCCTTCAGACATCCTGAAACATGTACTTTGATCAAATATGTTTTGCCTCTAAAGCATTCATTCAACCCTTCATAGTGATTGTTAATTGCATCGGGGAATATTTACGCGTGGTTAGTACTCACCTGCTCATCAATATCCATGGCTCGCAAGTGGTAGATCGTTTGTACATGGGGTTGCTTTTACAGAACCGATAGAAATCGAGCTTATATTGAATGGCATTCAAAGCTTGCTTTTTGTCAAAAGATGGTAGATGTTTTTCACTTTTCTTCAATCGACTGATCTTTATGTTTGCAGCAATTTTCGATTTCTGGGTGCCTTTTGAAGTCTACAAACAAAGAGTTTCCTAAGGTGAATCTGGTCAATTCATAAATAACATTCATCTGCGTCATATTGAAAAATTGTTCTTCATTAAAAACAAACCTTGCTAATATTTACCTTATTAATACTGTCTTTGATATCAGTTTGCGTTTCGGAGGACGTTTTCAAAATGGTTTTAACAGTTTCGTCGAACTCGGTTTGACACACTTTGTTATCAATAAATTCTTTGTCTTCGGGCTGCTCTTCGCCCGAATTGTCATCAGTTATACAAATGAGGCGCGCATTCTTGTCGCCTGTTATTGTTACTTTTGGCCTGAAACAATAGTACTTATCAGTTATTTCCATAATTAAATTACTGTTTAATTAATCCGCTAGACGGCCAGTGATTTATTAACGGTTTTTAGACAATGTGATTAATTGGGTGTGCACTGCTTTGTAATTTTTTCTACAGTTAGAAAAAAATGGGTTTCAAATAGTCTGTGGGTTTATCAATGGTAAAAATGAGTTGGATAAAGTGCAATGTTTACATTCGATGCAAATGAACATTAAATATGTAAGTGAATTTCCCGGGCAATAAACACGGTTTATTACGTAAAGAAAACGCGATTAATATGCTCCCAAGTACATTTTTAAGCAAATGAGTCTACATTTAAGGAAGAACTATTTATAACAGTGACCCAGCTTTCGTTTTCACCGGGTATGGTAACTTAGTAATGACACACTAATTGAACAGTTTCATTGTTTGCTTTTGTCGACAGGGTGTGATAGTCTAAAACACTGTAGTGTAGGATAATCTATAATAAGAGTATTATAATATATACTATAATAATCTTATAATAAAAATTCTGTAGGATAATCTATAATATAGAGGAATTTGGAAACTACATCCAGCCAATTGTTTATCTGGAAATGGGGCTATTTCTAGTTGTGCTATAAGTGAAACATTGTTTTGTTTGATCACCGATTACGTGGGGGGATTATTATTATTTATTGAATTTCTCCTAACGACAAAGATTATAATGGACATTTAATGGGCTACGCCTTTCTTAAAGTATGTTGAAACATCGGATAGATTTCCTGAAAAAGTCAATTAGCAAATAACCAGAAAAACAATAATTATTATTGCAACGCTCGGCGTTGTTATTTATTTAAGTAAGAACCCGTCACTGTCGATAAAGCGCCATTATTAATAAACAGAACAAGTTCAATGCTCAATCACTATTTAAGCACATATAAGCCCAATGAACTAACTATTTATGCGGAAATAAATTATAGAATGTATCTGGATTAAAACTAGCAGATAAAATTGGGAAAATCTGATAGATTTTCAATAGTCCTTATTGCCTGCTACACCCTGTTTGATTACGTGCCGAATAAACGCGCTAAAACGCATCCCATTATGGTGTAATGTGTTTGCGCCATAAACCGATAGCCATTTGTTTATTCAATTACTCATTGTGCATAAACAATATCAGAAATAAACAGCAAAAACATTTAATCAAAATTCAACTTTGTGTGGTTTGCAGCTTTAAGGATTTCGTGAACATGGTGAGTGAATAACTGCTAAAATAAATGAGTAAATAGTATAAATAACACTTACAAAAATACCGTAGGTTTACAGTTTTGTAAGTAAATCGTGGCCGAATTGTGAATTTCTTTTCACGCTTAATGTAAGTTTTGCGGGTTTAATCGTTCAAAAACTACAAGCTAAATGTCCCAAAAAATCTTGAAAAAAATTATACCAATTGTTCAGAGGTTTTTCCGGTGAATTTTCTACGTTTTATTTTTTTTATGTATGGTCACTATGAATTTTCTATAAAATATATTTTTCCATTAAATAGGGTCGTACAACTATGACCCACCTTCCTAAACCGCATATTACAAGTAGGATGTAATCATCATCTATTTTTAAATATTTAGTATTTTTCATTTTCTGGACATCTTCTGGCAACCTATCTATTTGCACTCGGAACCACTGAAAGCAATTTAATTTATTTTTATAATCCACGAATTTCGGCGTCGTGTGTCACAAGGGATTAATTTTATTTTCTGTATTTGTCGAATTCCTAGTATTTTATTATGAAATAATTAGTTACGACTTGTTTGTAGATGTACGATTATCGGAAATGGAGGTGGCTTCAAAGGGTTCGAGTCGCTTATCGAAATCCGCGCGCTTTATGCAGTCACTACTAAAAATACTTTCACTTACATGTTGTGACTGACCTAAGACATGTCACGATAATAATAATAATTATTAAAACTTTATTGATTTATTAATATTCCTTACTCTGTGCTTATTGCATAAATAATTTGTAAATTGGACGATTATTCCCCTATTACTAACGGGAACGAATGCAATTTTTTTTAAGGCGGTTTTAACTTTTTGTTATATTTCTAGGGTTGCTCTCAATCATCCAAATCCAATTCTTCTAAGGTAAAAAATGTTCGTTATTCTTTTCATACGCATCTATCTTGTGGTTTGGCATATTCAAAAACTAGCACCCAGCAATAATCGACTTGGCTAATATGAGACTTTCTAGTTGAAAAAAATCAAAGTTGAATTAGAATTTTTTTTTTAATTTTGGAAATTCGAAATAAATCTGAATTAATACGAAATAGGAAAACACGTCTGAGCATATACAAAATTGAATGTGATTTTATGAAAATTGAACAATAAGCTAAAAAATTTTGAAAAATCGAATTAAAGCACAACAAAAATTTAATTTTATATTTTTTTGTAAAATTATGGGCTAGTTTTTGGATGGTTGGTTATGGTATACTTTTCCACTGTTTGCTTGTGATTTGTTTTTATAGTGTTAATCAAATAATCCATATCATAATCCCCGCTCCAATTAGAGGTTGTTTTTTAGATCAAAAAGATTTGCCTGAAACGTAGCCGAAAATATTAGTTACTTCTTCTAACAGTTCAATGAAATTCGACCGAAAATAGATGCATTTTTCGGACAACCTGTACCTATTCTGATCCGCTCTCGGATTATTCAAATAATAATGTTGTAATTTCCGATAATCCTTAAAAACGTTATCGAGAGATAACAAGCTGGCAATGTATTAAAATACTATTAAACCAATCATCAGATACTTTAACTTGGTGTATCATTCAGTTAGATCTTCGTATCGTATAACTTCCATAATCATGGTAAGTTTTATTAATACATTTCTATTATTAAGTTATAATTTGGAAAAAAAATGGGAAATAAAAGAAACAAAAAAATAAGTTTTTATTTGAATATCAAATATTTTGGCCGGCAAAAAACCATCCTCCAACGCCTTAGGTAATTAATTAACTGTTGTAATGGTCTGTGAAACACTGACTAAACAAACAAGTAAAATGCCCCACTTGACTTCAAAACCAAGAAATATGTAGGTTTGATTCTACAATCATATCCGTAAATTAAATAAGCACATAATTTGGAAAAACTTCCTAAAATGGCCAGCGATTCGATCAGGAAGCGAAGTTATTCATCCTTGCGTGTGTATCATTGTCGGGAACAATACAATGAGTAGGAGGCTGTTTTTGTTATGACATATTAACGACCACACAACAGTAAATCGAAGAACAATTTTACAAATTACGTCACATCAGAAAAAAGGCAAACGCACAGTTAGATAAATGTTTGATTTATTGCACTATTTTGAACCTTAAAACCCTATTGGTCCAAAAGGCAAAAACATTTTACATTCGCAATGTTACCGCTCCAAAATTAAATTAAAAAAGCTGAAAAAACTAAATAAATATTCATAAACTCTGTTTTTTACGTTTTTCCGATGTTCATTATTTTATTTCTAGTTTCCTGGCAGATTTCTTATACCAAAAACACGAGAATGCGCTGAAATACCCACAAAAGACAAAAATAAAAATAAAGTAAGTTGTGTAGATCTGTTACTTAACTACTAAGGACTTCTTGAATAAAACTCACACAAAATGAGGAGAGAAAACACAACAACTCCCGAAGAGAAAACCGCGTTTTTTTTAAACGTATTTGCGAACCCGAAGCTCCGGAATGTTTCAGTGTTTCATTTTTTAATTGGCCAATTCGGTAAAACCCATTTGAAACTGAAGTTTTTACATTTTAGTAGCCTTAATATGAAAATTATTAGATAGGTGCAATCCATTACTCTAACATAACGGTGTTCGTTGCCAAACGCTTATTGCTCGAAGATCGCCTCATTTGAAAACATGTTTTTTATTGCCAGATAGCTTATTAGTGTCAGCAGAAAAGATTGATTAGTCGAACTAAGTGAAACAATGGAGCAAATGCTCACATTTTCAATGAATTTTATTCATTTTGCTGAATTTGGAAAAAAATTCAAACAACTCGCAGATTCATGGAGTTTTAATGTAAAAACCTTCCAATTGCAAGTGCAGTTCGAAATAGTTTGTTATTTTCAAAATTTCAAAATCAAATTCCCGATTATTTGGCATACTTTCTAATTGTAACAATTACCAAAGGAAAGGATGCCAAATATTATTTGAAATTTAAAGAATTTCTAAACTTGCAACTTTCACAGCCGATGGAAAATATTTAATATGGAAATGGCAAAAAATTGTTCGAATTATCCCCATTTTTGACGACTTTTGGTTGAAAAACACCATAACTTCTAATCTGGATCAAACCCCGAATTGAAACTTCTCCAATCCAAAGAACACATTTTAATCTAAAACTGCTGAAAATTACGTTGAAATCACACCCGGTCCTGATTTTTGACTGTATTAGCTAAAAATCAATGTTTCTGCAGAAATCCCAACTTTGCAACCTTTTAGTCGAAAAAATTCACAAATTTTAATCTGGCTCATGCTCCGACTTCAGACTTCTCCAGTCTATAAAAGATATTTTAATCTAAAATTGTTGAAAAGTTTAATGAATTCGCACTTAATCCTGATTTTGGTAAAATTATCCCAAAAATTACTGTTTTCTGCTTAAAAAATCCTAATTTTCCATAGAGAGCAAATAGCAACGTGAAACTTTCAGTCTATAGAAAATATTTGATTCTGAAAATGCTGAAAATTTCACGCGAATCACACTTAAACCGAATTTTTGCCGACTTCGTATGTGTTAGTTGAAAATGAGCGTTTCGGCACAAATGGACCTCTTGGTCGAAAAAATTGTATCTGGCTTAAACCTCGCATTGAAAGTCCATAGAAGATACTTTAAACTAAAAATGTAATTAATTTGCACCTAATCCTGATTTTTCGCGACTTGGTAAAATTATCCTAAAAATTACTGTTTTCTGCTTAACACACCTTAAAAAATCGTAATTTTTAATAAAGAGCAAATAGCAACGTGAAACTTTCACAGTCTATAGAAAATATTTGATTCTGAAAATGTTGAAAATTTCATGCGAATCACACCTAAACCGAATTTTTGCCGACTTCGTAAGCGTTAGCTGAAAATGAACATTTCGGCACAAATGGACCTTTTGGACGTAAAAAATCGTAACTTCTAATCTGGCTTAACGTCGCATTGAAACTTCTCTGGTTTATACCAGATACTTTAATCTAGAAATGTTGAAAAGTGTAATGAATTTGCACCTAATCTTGATTTTTGGCGAAAAAATCTTAACTTAATATAGAACTACTATTGTTATTAGGCCAAAAATCATGAATCGGTGCGAATTCATTAAACTTCAACATTTTTAGATTAAAGTATCTTCTATAAACCAGAGAAGTTTCAAGGCGACGTTAAGCCCGATTAGAAGTTACGATTTTTTCAACCAAAAGTTTGTTTTTTTCAACATTAAGCGTTCACAGTGTATAGAAAATAGTTGAATCCAAAACCGGGAACAGTTTCATTCAAATTGCATCTAATCGTAAATTTTGCCCGACCTTTATTGGTGTCTGTTTTGCATTTATTTCACGCTGCTTGGCCGTAAAATAATTATTTAACAGAAATCTTTGCGTTACTCCTAATAATATTATTAATCCGTATGACGTTAATACTAAAGCTCTACATGATAAGTGGATACCATAAAAGCAAAAATGACTAAACAAATGCGAAACCGTTCACTGTTGTGGTCTTTGCCAACCTTCAGCTTCACATTTGAATGTCAATAACAGCTTTTTAAGGCCGGCTATTCAATTTTTTTTTATCTTTGGAGTGAAATGATTCATTAATTGATTTCAGACTGACCTACGCTACCAACCAATCCTCATCCGAATGTCCTAAAATAGAGTAGTGTGCGTGATTCTATCGGATATGTGGGCCAATGAAATTTACACAAAAACGTTTTTCATATTGGGTGCTGGCCAAAAAGCTTGTTGCAACATCCTGAGCTATTGTCATTATTTATCGTTGTCTGGAATTTGGGAAAACTGTATTTATTTACACTGAAAACCCGATATAGGACTTTTCAGGCAACGTTTATCAACACGCAAAATGGAAATATTCTTGCGGATTTTGGATTTCCTGCGCGACTTTAAACATAAAACCAACTGAAATAATTCGATTAGGGAGTGCTTAAAATTTACTGGGTGAATCACTGATGATGCAACTGAAAATGCAATATTATAAAACGCTGTCAAGACAAATTATCTTGCGAACAGCTTCAGTGAGTGGTTCAAACAACTTATTGGCACTCCATACAAAATTAAGCATCATCAAGCGAATACTTGTTCCAGTTTTAATGCTCTAAGATTTATTTATTTTGGAGCAACTTTTGACTAATAACCCTCGTACCAGCCTAATGCAGTCGCTATGTGGGCGAATCTATTTTTGCGTGTTTCTTTTGGCATCATTTTCATCTAGCTCTATTCAAGCGGCTTATAGTTTCCCAGTCTTTTTCGCCAAATTTCCAATTAGCAGAAATATACGGAAAAGGTAAATCACCTCCATCTGGTTCAACGTTTTTATCTTCTTAAATGTTGTTGATGACACGAAACATTTGTCGGTCAGAATCAAACTGCCCATCATAATTCACTGTGACCCAAATTTTTTTATTTAGAAGCCCGGCAGTCAATATTTTCTTCAAATGTATTTATTTTTAGATGCTTTCCGCTTGATGTTCGCGCTCGTAAAACCATTTTTCGACTTTTGAGTAAATTTATGTATAACAGCTTTTCTGAAGTAGAGTTTCGATGAAAAAATCCAGATAATCTCCAGAAAATTGGTGGTGTAAGTTCAAGCAGGTGGCGCTCAATTTAATATCATCACGCTGAAGCCAGATAGTAGATAAGGCTAGACAATTTGGCACGGTCAACTAGATATTAATTGTGCGGAAACCAACTTTTATCAATGAACTGGAGACAGTTATTTTGCGGCCAGTATTCGACAGCGAAAAAAATCATTGTGTATTGAAACTGGGGAGTTTGCTGGCCTCAAAGCCCGAAAAACTGACCAGTTTCAAGCAATGGCCGCAAAGTTCTCACTCTTTTGAACTAAATACTTTGGGCCAAATAAATCCAGCCTGTACATTAATCTGCAGTTCTTGTGATGAGTTTGAGATTTGAGCCAGTCGGTATACTAGTAGGTGGTGGGAGCTATCGAGTTCCCTTAGATGTGAAAATATTTTCGAAATTTTCATCGAGTTTTCAGCTATACAAACCGACGCTTATTTAGTTAATCCGCGACTTTCCGTGCGTATTGTTCGAAAAGAGCGCTATCGAGCTTTCGTTATTGCATTTGGACGGTGACAATACATCAGAAAAATGGTGAGTTTTTGGGAAGAAAAACATTTAGGAAAAGTTATCTTTAGCTATTAACCTTCCTAGGTTCCCATTAACAATAATTGTCACATTAATATTAAGTCATCAGTTCAACAAGTTAATAAAAGGATTACGGTACTTAGATAAGCGCTAGGCGGACACACATAAAGGATTTATCACCGTTTAATTCCCTATTTGATGGCAGCGAATATATTTTTAATAGATTGCAAAAGCTCTAGAAATAGATTCAGTTCTGGATTTCTCAAGCATTAATTCAGTCTTAATAAACCCCCGGATTTTTTTTTATGTTAATCAAACAACATATGGCCCAATATTACATTTCATTGATTTAATTTGCAGACTAAAAATCCTAATTCATCTGGGTTACTTAGAACAACAATTAGGCTTTCGCAGGAATTGAACCTAGAAACTCACGAGATTTTCATAGAAAAAACCCATCAGTATTCAGTACATCTTCATGCAAGCTCACTTCTACTTACTACATCAACATCCCGCACTTTCGCATCTATTTCCCCCTTAGTTTACCCGCTGCACACATATTTAATCAGCCGGAAAAATTCAAAATTTCCCGAAAAGTACATCGTAGTTTTGTTGCAGCTCTTCAACAACCGAAATCGAAACCGACCGCAGCGTGTATGTATTTTTGGCATCTTTTCGATGTTGTACTGTTGTATTTTTTGCTCTGTCGTTCCTATCGAAATAAGTTAACGCACACCCAAACATAAAGTCATACTTGCAGACACACAATGTTTTCCACTAACGATGCATCTGATCAGTTATCCATATATTGTGCTTTCACCTTTCATTTGTACATATAGAGCCACTTTTTGGAAATTGATTTATTTTTTTTAAATTAATGAATGCTCATTTTGCTGGTAATTACAGCTCTCGCTGCAAATAATGACCTGATTTTTCAACGGAAAATTACGTTCTTCAAAGCAGAGGGCAAATAAACCATGGAAAGCTGTTAAAGATCAGCATATGGGTTTTAATCTGCAAAATACGGCTTGTTATAAGCGTGTAGCGTTAGAATCCTTCAATTGTAATCTTTGTAAGATTATTAATAAAACTACAATCAATGGTTTTTTAAAAAGCTTTGAAACGTCTGATAACAATCATCTATAGACAATTTTCTAAAACAATTAAGTGCATTATTTTGTATGTATACCGATAAATATGAAGGCCCCAGTAGAAGTACTAGTTTATCTAAAAATTACATCGGGATTCGAAAATTGTTCTCGATTATGTATTTTGCACACGATTCGACAGAAGTTAAAGCAACTTTTCCCAATATAATTATTCATAGATTTTGAAAATCTGCCAAAAAATCGGGCTGGAAACACAGTCATTAAACAAACGCGTTGTCGCCCAACAGGTGGATTGGTCAAAGTGTCTCATCTATTAAGTATTAATGGCTTGTGGTCAGTTTCGACTACTTGGCCTATATAAATATTCACAAAACTTATTTATGTTGATGATAATAAGATTGATGTATTTTTTTCTAAATAATTGCGTTAGTATTCCATCTAAAGCCTTATCAATTATTCCCAAACCTGGATAAATTATACATACATTCAAAAAAATTTAATCGTCAAAATCATGTTTGTGTGTATAATTTTAGTGGCACTTTTTTTCCTAAAAATCCTTAAAAAACTAAACTAATAAAAATACACTTGAAATAGTATTGTTTACTATTCGCAAATGTCCTTTCTGTTCATAAGTGTTGGAAAGTTATTGCTTTGATGAACGTTTTATTAAATCCCTCCTCAAACCAATTTTTTTTTCCTCCACAATCGAAAGCATTTTCCACTTTTATTTGGCAGCCGTTTGTTCATTTCACGAGTTTCGAAAAAAATGCGTGGGATGTGTTGATAATTCGCTCGGTTTACGATTAATATCGCCTCAACTGGTTCGTGAAAATTACGCAAAAATAGCAAATTGTAATTTATACTTTAAGCTTGCTGATTGTTGATCATTTAGCATGCTGTTAAATGTAAAAAATTCAACACTTCAATTCGTATTAAGCCTGAGTTAAGCGCACCAACAAAAGAACAGTACATTTATGGATGTGACAAACACAACAACCGATAGAGAAGATAATTTAAGAACGAGAAACGCAGTGATGGAAAAATTGTCATCTTTGTTTCAAAAGTTTCTTAAAACCAAAAACTAGATACAAAAGCGTAAAGAAATATCATAGGGATGCTACGAAAGGGTGGAATGTTTAAGAGTTTGGAATGTTTTGTGTTGGGACTCATAAATTCTGATCTGGTTGATCATTACGAAAAATTATTTCTTGATTGAATTTTGGTCAAATTGATTCCTGGTAAATTTTTCACGTTTAAAACTGATATCCAACACCAATTGTAAATTTTTCTGAAAAACCGCACAGACGAAAGAAGCAAAAAATGATAAAATGAGAAGTAGCAATACTTACTCTTTCCTCCGGGGAGTTTCTGGATTAATGCGTGTGCCATCAGATAAGCTATAGTGACTCTTCACAATCTCCAAAGTGAGTTGAGGATTCTCAATATTCCTCTCATTCACTTCGCCGTTTTTCTCGGCCAGTTCGACGAAAATCTTCTTCAGAAACTGTTCACTATTCTGATCGCTTTTTATCAGTTGCAACATTTCGGCTATTTGATGATATTTACTGTTATCTACATCGGGGTTTTCGTTGTGGGGGTTTAACGAGAGCTGAAGTAGACGCAGCAGGAGTTCTTCCTTATTACAGCCAGTCTGCAACAAAGCAAACCCGATTTAATCAATGAACTCGAAGCAGTTATTTTGCGCTCAATATTCGTCAGAGAGCAGGAAAACAAGCAAATCATGCATTGAAACAGAAAAGTTTTCCAGGGTGAAAAAGAATTTCTTCCTGACGTTTCGTCACCACTAGTGGCTTGCAACTTCAGAGGTGGTTTGCTCGCGAAACGTTCGGAAAACTCACTGTTTCCAGCAAGGTCGCGAAGACTCTTGAAAAAATTATGTGGAAACTCGACTTCGTGCGGTAACGTTACTTATTAGGTGCTTTCGCGTGTCTCCAAATGTAATGCAGTGGAAAATTTCCTGCCGATTCCATCAGGAACATTTGCAATAGCACGCAACATCATCGCCTTGAGTTCGTCTTTTGTTAAGGTGGTTTCCTAAGGAATTGCATCTCATTTAATTGAAACTTTAAATCAATTATGTTTCAATGTTTGTTTTGTTTGAACAAGTTTGTTGCTTCGAACCCCCTTTTGTCTTCATTTCTTTTAAGGCCTAAATGCCATGAGAAAAAACACAGGTTTACAGAAAATTAAACGTTATTAACCTGGTAGTGTGAGGAAAACTTCAAGATAAAATATGAATTTTCCTTGGACAAAAATTGTTATTCAACTATGCGTTAACGAGTCACTTCTCTGCAATAAACAGGTAATTAACATGCGATCTAACATAATTGATGTCATCCAGCCTTAATGCCTTATCTGGTGCCAGTTACAAATTACAACGAAGTTTGCATTTTATCTGGTTTTCATAATGAATCAGATGCTGAAAATAGAAGCGACAGAAATCGATTGTTGCGGGAAATGTTTGAGTTTCTGCGGCGCCAGTTTCCACCAGTTTCCACCGTAATAGTCGGAGCTTTTTAGGTGCAGTTTGTTGCTGAACTGGTACATACCAGCTACCAAATCCTTCATAATTATCCGTCAATATCTTGAAGTTTATTGAACGTATTATTTGTGCTATCCGAAGATTCAACATGGTATGCATTTCCATTTAATCATTTTATTTAAATTATATGTAAAGTATGAAGCCCAACTATCTAATTCCAATAACACGCTTCTAATCAGAATTGAATAATTTAATTAAAATTGCCAGTGTCAAATAATGTATGTTTATTTACGGCTGAATGGAATTTTAAACATTGGTTTCAATTAGCGATTCTAATGTAGCCGCTAACTGTTTCCAGATACTGACTAATTTTCTCATTAGTTAAAAGCCGCTCGGGATTGACTGCTCAACAGGAGTTAATATAATTTCTAATAGCTGAATTTCAAATAATTATTGTTTCGTTAGTTACAGTAAACACTATTCAGCTTTTGTTACTCGATTATTCACACGACGTTTAGTTAAATATTTTTATCCAAAGTTTTAGAAGCGTATAAACATCATTAAAGAGACCATTGATATATCGTTGTATTTATAACACATTTTGCAATTATCTAAAAATTGCAGGTCAAAAGTACAGAAAAACAACTCAACAGTCTTGAAAAATAGAGATAAACGAGCGCACAAAAGAAGTTAAGTCAAGAAGATACTTAAATCGAACTTAAAAAAATGCAATTGCAAACACAGCACTTACAGACAAAAGCCTTTATCTCTTGTACCTGATAATAAGTTCATATCTAATAATTTGAAAGAATGAAAGATATATTTTTAATGCGGAACTGTTCAAAAAATTATTATGACGGAAACTCGAATGGAAACAATTAAACTAATAACAATGGAAAAATAATGAGCCTCAAAATTAGGCACCACGTTCACAAAGAAAACGACAAACAACTTATCAAATTAAGGTTTTGCCTATTAAATGAAAAAATACCAGGGTAAGGTGTATGTGAAATAAGCCTGCTAAACAAATATAATATAAAAATTAATGAATATAAAAAAAATAATGTAGGAGAACAAACATTAATGAAAGCAAACAAAAATTAATTATTAATTAGTGAGCAAATTGTAATAAAATACACTTTTATCAATTGAAAATAATATTCAAGTAAATGGAATCCCAGCAATTGAGGTGAACTGTTTAGCCAACAATTCTAAAAACTCAGGAATTTTAAAAAGATTAATCAGGAAAACAGTTCGAAACAGGACGAAACGCAGTTTTTAAATTCAGACACAGAGTCAACCTAAAATAAATTATCTATCCATTGCAGATGCAGGAGCACGGATTGGAAAACAAAACATTATTCGTAGAAATAAAAAAAACTTAATGAAAAATCTGGAATAAATTAAAGCTGAAAATATTTTAGCATTGTTAATTAAATAAAAATATTGTTTCAGAGCGCGCCAGCATCCACTGAACCCAAAGTTTGCGCCCAATGCAAAGAAACCATCACAGGGGTAAGTTCAGAGTGAACATTAACATTTTTACGCATTTTCATCAGTTTTCCAATTAGTATCTCAGTTTTTGCTAAGCAATAAAATCACCATTAATTGAGTAGTTTTTAACTTTTTATAAACATTTAAAAAACGTTCTATTGTCGCCTTTGAAATATTTCCTTTAGCTGAATTGTATAAATCTAGGTTCTTCCGTCGGGTCGTAGATTAAAAATTTGTTTGGCAAATTTTTTAGACGATAATTTAAATAAAAAAAGGAAATATTGAAATTTAATAATTTTGTTGCGCTGAAAGCTAAACAACTAACCCCGTAAGCTTGCTAACATCGCTTTTTAGCAATTTTTGACCGCCTTGGGAGAGTCGTGGCATCCGGACCATTTTGCCTGCGAAGAATGCAAACAGCCCATAAAAGAGACAAAATTCCATACCAATGAGGGCAAGCCTTATTGCTCTGAGTGTCACGTCAAGTTGTTTGCAAAAACTTGCTTTGCATGCGACAAGCCCATCTTGGATGTAAGTTGGTTCACTAACATTTATTAATGCTGATGGTTTCTGATATAAAGTTAATTTTACTACGGTTTTGGATTCAAAGCCCGCAAAGCTTGTTGGGACACAAAAATGCAAACGGATGTAATTCAAAAACAGTCTCAAAGAGTTCACTATTGAAAAACATTTTTTTTTTAATTCATGGAACCCTTCTTTGTGTAGAAATGCGTTCAAGCCATGGGAACCAACTGGCACGAGGACCATTTTATTTGCGGCGGGTGCAAGTGCAAGTTGGTTGGAACCCAATTTATGGACGTGAAAGGGGCCCCATTTTGCCAAAAATGCTACTTGTCCAAGCATGCTGATCGTTGCAAGGGATGCTCCAAGCCAATCGCTGACAAGGCTGTGGTGGCTCTAGACGCCAAATGGCATCAGATGTGCTTCAGATGTTCGGTAAACTGAGTGTTTTAATTTATTTTAACGATGAAAATTGTTGATTTCCTTGGGTGTTTGCTCAAAACACTTTAAAAGAAATTAACAGTTGCATTTAAAGCCAATACAGGGTGGTCGTTGAAGATTTCCTTTTTCCACATTTTATTGCTTAAAAAAATCTATTTGGCAAATTAATTAGCTACTTCGGGGCACACCCAGTATTGAAATTTAACTGCAAAAGAGAGTCAAAATAAATGCAACTGATTTTTGAAGCTGACCAATTGGGCGCTTAACTCAGATCAGTTACATTTAGAAGTCACTCCAATGGTCCTCTTTACCTTTTTGACACATTAAAAACATACTCCTCTTGTAACCTTTCACCTTGCAATGTGCTACTAATTTCTAAATACTTTTCCAATAGAAAACAATTTTTAGTACTGTTCTTTTTGAATGTTTTCTACTGTTATTTAGCATTTATTTCACTAAGCTTTGAATGTTCAATGTTGTTCATTAACCCACTATTTGATAGAGATTAATAATGAAAACTGTTAGAACTAACTCTGATCCTGATCAAATTTTCTATTCAATACACAAAGTGTTTTGAAATGCCTTATAAATATTCTCGGGTGTAATTCCCAGATTGATTTTAAATTAATTCAACTGAGTTAAACAAAATTGGTAAAATCAGTTCGGAAATTGCATCGTAAAATATCTACTGGGTGTTTAGAAGCAAACATAGCGACGTGCTGATAGAACACTATCATGTTAATTTTCTCAATTCGATTATTTTTGCACCATCAAATGTGTCACTAACAATAAGAAGAATCCGAAGAAGATCCGTGGACCTTACACACATTAGGGAACCCCCCTCAGAAATTGGCAACGCATTTTTGAGACCAAATTACAATTTTTGGATTTTTCTTTTTTTTGCAGAAGTGTGAGAAGCCAATCACATCAGAACAAACGTTCCAAGTTGACGATGGAAAACCGCAATGCGTCAAATGTTAGCTTTTCGTGCGCTTTGTTTAATTTTTTTATGCTTTTTCACTATCTATCAATTGTAATAACGATTGTATATTTTAGCTATGAGATACCTACTTGTTATGGTTATATAGCAAAATTGCACCTTCCGGCGTAACTTACAATAAATTATATTCTGTATTTTATTATATTTTTAGTATTACTATTAGACAAAATAAAACATAATTACTTAAATTACAGTTGAAAATAGGGAGTATTTTTATTTCCAACACTACAGGTACGTTATGAAATTATGAAGCAATCTGCGCCAAACAGAAACACTTCGATTTATTAGCCTCATAAAAAAATAAGTTGTCTGAACTGAAGTTTTCGGTGTTCAGCTAAAGTTTCAGTTTGTTATTATCGAAACTGCATAATAAATCCGGCTAATTTTAAATGCTGCAATGTTTAGATATTTTTCAAACAACGCTTCAAATAACATTAAGCCTAGCCAAAACGCAGGAATTAAAAAGCTAGAATTTCCCAAGCATTTTGAAGCGCGACGCCAAGAAACTGGGTTTAAAATAAGCATGAAATTCCGAAATTTTCGTTCCAGTTATTAACTAAGACGCCAATTATTTTACTTTGCTATTACTTCGATTTGAAAAGGTATTTATCTGGAGAGTAATTGTGCTATTGTAAATAGTGCTGTTTTAGAGTAGGATTTTGTAGCTTTTTAGACTGTTATTAGTGCTTTAGAAACAATTCTTGTGTGATTAAATTTTAGATAAAGACTCTGTAATTAGGCGAAAACTACTCCAAAAGTTCAATGGGAATCAAAAATAATGTAAAAGGAACATTGACATGTCCGGATCAAACACCTATCAATTGATATTTATAAGTACAGCAGTTTGATGAAAAAAGTTAAATATATTTTGAAATGTAAAGAAATAACTATAGAGCAAGCAATGAAATATAAACTAGATTATAAGGCAAAATACATGCAAAGTATTATCTTGGTCAAGGAAAGACAACTTACAATTTCACTAAACTTTTCAAGACTGAAGATATGAAGAAAATTGTAGAATGTTTTGCCTTCTCAAAGAACCAAAGTATATTAGTTGATAGAATAATCCTCACTATTGTTGTAATTGGCTGATTATGCACCCGCCATCTAACAAAGATACTGCGATATCTATAAGTAGCTAAGCGTTTGAATAATAATGCTGGATGTGTTTTTTGTGTGATTTTTCGGTATGTATTAACATGGCTTACCTTCGTTAGGACTATTTCCTAATTTGCTCTGTCTGATTTGCGTTTTTCAGAAATGCGAAAAACCAATCATGAAGGATCAATCCTACAAGCTGGACGCAAAAACTGGAAAGCCCCACTGTGTCAAGTGTTAAGCTACCACCGTGCCCTTTCAAGACAACAATACTAATCTTCCATTAAGTTTTATTATGAGATTGTATTGATATATTCTCTATATTTATTATATGTTGTGTTTTTGCTATACTATTTTATTTAAGTCTGTCGTAAGTTAGAGCCAAGCATGTATTATTATTTATTAAAAACTAAATTTCGGTTTACGACATTTTATTCATAAACCTGATACGTTCTGGTTAGGTATAAGCTTTGCGTGCTAAGATTAGTATTGTCAATTCTTAAATAAAGCGAAATCTATGGCTAGCTACTCACCTCTGAGTCGCTTGCATTCATGTTCTTTTCCATATTTTCCCACTCCTCTTTTTCTACGTGATTATCTTCAATTTCCACCATCGTTTTGATGCATTCGTCCTGCATGCCCAAGTCCACATGCGTCGATTTGAGTCCTGTTGAAAGCTTCAGCGGAGTCAAGTGCTTCAGTTTAGGAATTACGATGATTTTGGGATCTTTGTGAATCGGCGGCCGATGCTTATAAGTTGCTGTTCTGTACTTGGACTTGACGTTAATTCTGCAAATAAACCAACAAATGAATTCGCCTATTAAATTAGGGAAAATTACTAAGTCTCACTTCTCTTTTGCCAAGCTTTGAACGGTTCTTTTCCACGGTGCATCTTTCCGAAATGTGGCGTTCGCCCCATACATGGAAAGTCTCTTGTTCAACTTGATTTTTTTGCTTCTTTTGTCAGTTAAATTTCTGGACTGTCCTTCACTTTTACCAGCATACTGGGTGAGACTGATTCTTGATTGTTCCGATTTTAACGCAGTATCGGTAGATACTGACCGAGGCACTGTTACGGACTCATCTACTTTTTGAATGGTAAGTTCGGCATTAATTTTGAACGTCTTTAAAGAAAGAGGAAAATGGTAATCGGAGAAAAATACAATAACAATAAATTTGAAAGTCTCACATCAATAAATTCCAAGCAATAATTTTCATGGTCTTCACTTAGTTGGCTCCTATGATGTTCGCACACTTTAACAATATCATTCATCAAGCTTTTTAGTTGATGGTAAGTGGAATCTCCAAGTGAAGTCGGCAGGTGGTTTTGCAATGCTTGCAACGCGTTGAAGACGATTTGGTAAGTTGAAAAGAGCTTTTGATTCATAAGGAGCGGATTCAATTGGTTTAGAGCTCCCAAGTCCTTCAGCTGAAATATTTAATATTGGCAAAAAATTGGAATTTTACTGCAGAAGTAACAGATTTTTTAAAGTTTGATTGAAAATGCTTTACCTGTCTCGCTAGAGGATACAAGTAATTCCGGGAAAACCTATTGGAAAACTCTTTGTCTCTAATAGTCCTTCTCGATTCGTCCTCTTCGCCATCGGGAGGTTCAATGCCTTTAGCGATTGTGGTTCTTAAATAAAAAAAAATGCAATCCTCTATATTTTCACGTTAATAGTATGAATCTTTTTTACCGCATTTCAGCTATGCATTTTAAACTCTTTGTGACCACGGCTTTAAATTTTCTTTCAAAAACTGATACAGGTATACCCTTGGGGAAGAAACTTTGCTGCGACGATAATCGACTGCGCCTTTCAGTCTCGCTGGCAATCTTTCTGGTTGCTGATTTATTGCGAGCTGTTCTGCTATTCTCCAGGCTGGGCTTTCGTCCGATCTCGACGCTCCTGCATCGACAAGCGGAATATGCCACTTCAGAGTCAACTGAAGAGCTGCCAGTGCTTGAATCGCTCCCGTTGCCTCCTCGTTTGCTTTGAAACCGATCGCCGATTCGTCGTTGGGACACCCTGTAGCTGTCTCCCATTCCACTTAAGTCACTTTTGTCCGTAGTATTGCTGTCGATGACCGATAGCTTCTCATGAAGAAGTTTATGGAAGTTTTGAGCTCGTTGCTGAAAGCAAAAGCGCATTTTTCGAGAAACATTAGACTGATTAGTGATGCGGGGCTAACTTTAGTTTCCTGGAAGCCCGAATACATGGGAGTTCTGCCGACGGCAACATGCGAAGTGCTTGAGGAGAACTTTGGACGAATTCTGGGAGTGCAATTGGTGGTAGTATCTGAGTCCGAGTGAAACAAGTTTGGATGGGCCTTGAATTTGCGGGACTGATTCTCTTTTTTTGAGATCGAAGCTTTTTCTTCCAGTTGTCTCTGTTTTATTTCCAGTTGCTTCAGCAGGTTTGTATCGCGGCTTAAATGGTGCTGAAATTTCGGAATCAAAAGTTGGGCTTTAAACAGAACTGTTAGACGCTATCTTCAGCTTTCAGGAGTAACTCAATGAAACAGAAGGGGTGGGTTTGAGGAAAGTGGGCAATATAAAACCAACCCTCCTTCAAGGGTATTATAATCCCTAAAAAGCCAGTGAATATATTGAAATCAAGCTACTTACATGCCGCAAGGGGTAAAAATCTCCCATTATGAAAATTAAGCGTACAAGTAAAATATAAAATCAAAAATACAAGCAGACATCAACACATACAAAGCGAAAACTTCAAGAGCATTTGACGCTGACTAAACAGTCAATTAAGGGTTTCTTAGCAACGGAAATTGTAACAAACAAGGTGCGCGTCTCGGCCTTCCACTGGGGTGCAAATTTTAAATTTACAACCTACTCTTCAGCAGCTTGTCTTTGTCTAAGCAATAAAAAAGGAAGGACACCCAGTGCGACAATAATAGACCCATTAAAGAGGGTTTTAGAATAGTGAAAACACAGTGGTTTGATATTGTAAGAAATTAATTACAAAATATTGGTTGAGTTTAATCGTGTGTTAAAAAACTAGAGCGTTGCCAAAATTTAATTGGGTTGTTTAAAAAAACTTAGGTGTTTATTTTTCCTATTTTATTAAAGTCGTTTTTTTACATCTTGAGAAAAGCGAGTAGGTCACTTTTTTGAGCCATCGGCCAACTGGTTAATGGGCAAAGAAATTTGTCTGTTTTTTTTTCATAGGAAATGCGAGCCATGTTTGTGCCCGAAGTATAATTTGCCGATTTTTCCGGAAAAAGTAATTAACAAGATTTTTCATACGGTTTTTTTACAAAAGCTTTAAAAAGGTGGACTGCAACACAGTATCAAATCAACCATTGTGATTATTCTTCGACAGAAGTTTAAAAAATTAACAGAAAATAAAAGTATTTTTTTCAATTTTATCTGAACTTTGCCTCACTGTTTAGAAGTTTCTGTAGCTGGATTTGTTTGTGGGTTTCCAGGGCAACGATATTTCAATCAAAGACACACAGGAAAAAGGAGCGTCATATGAAAATAGCGCGGTAAAAGAGAAATGATGAATAAATTGGGGCGTAGCCTTTTGTTTATGGCCATTTTAATAAATACTAATGTTAGGTTAACAATTGGATATATTTAATGTGAATTTAAACTTCCCTAGCAAATATTTTATCAACAATTTGCATATTTCTGAACGGAAATAGGTAAGTGCCTAATTTCAAGTAGCAGCAAAATAATTGCAATTTTCATTTATGCTTAATTAGAAAAAGGAATGAAGCACGTAATATACGCCAGACGTCGTTCTATGGCCGAAAACCGAAGAATTCAATTAAAAACCATTGTTTTGCCACCTTTAACTCCAACATTTGAGGAGGAAAATGACCAAATGCTCAGAACAATTTTGGTAAGTTGATTGAGCTTTTACATAGCAAATGTTAGCAAGTAAATGACGGCGTTAGTAGAGAATCATTTTTTTAAATTTTGCGCAAACATTTATGTCCAAACAAATCTAGAGAAACCTCTTCATCTTCGAAAGGGTTTTTAAGTCTGAAGAAAATTTGTGGCAAAAATTACGAACGTTTCGAAAACTAATAAGTATTTTTTCATGAAGTTTCATATCATGAATAAATATACAAAATATGCTATTTAAAAAAAGTGAGATTTTTGAGCTTGAAAATACGTTTATTTGGACGATTGTTATGACCACGATGTACTATCGAAGACAATTATTTTGCAAACCAAATATTAATAGTATTAGTTATTATTATTATCAAGTATTAGTCATTTTTCCTGTCAAATTTCAAAATTTTGTACCTAAAGACAACTGAGAATTTTTTTTTCGGTTGAACAATACCATAAAAAATGCGAATTTTGTTCGTTAAATCTGAATAGATAAAAAAATATAAAATTTTCTTAAAAAGTAGTTGAAATTTACATAAAAAATCAAAAATAAAATTATTAAAAATATAGGGTGGTTCATTAAAAAGGCACAATTCATCACACCGCTTTCGAGTTTTTAGAATCCATTGATAATAACCATGTGTAATGAGCAGGAAAAATGAATATGAAATAAAAAAAATTGAAACAACACAGAAACAAAAATTTCAAGCACATATTTAGTACCTCAATTAAATTATCCTTCTAAGCACCCGGCATAAATATAAAAATTTTACTTCTACAATACGTAACTTTCCGTTTGAACTTGCAGATTTTTAAAAAATCCTGCAATAACAATTCGAAAAATCCCTTGTATTTTTCAGTTTTCTTTCATTTCGTTCGTATTCCCGGGGCGATTTCAATCAGTCAGCTCTCCCAACTTTCCAACAAATCTGCACAGAGCATGTGTCAAAATAGCTCTAGCCACGCTCTAATCAATAAGAGCAAAGTAGTGGTTTTCAGTTCGCGTGAAAATTGTCTGCAATTTTCCTGTTTTTATTTACTAGTAACTCTGATCGTTGCCAACAATTACAGTTTTACTCGAAAGTTGTTGTGTAGGTTTTGCGAGGTGCAGTTTGATGTCAGCGATGACTCAGCTCGAAACTCAGCGTCGGAACTCAGCTATAGCCGGCTAGAATGCTCAATTGATCACGCATGCCATGACTCTTCACCACTCTTTAAATCATCTTCAGAGCGGTTTGCTTGCTTTTTTAGTTAGTAGCTTTTGCTTCATGTGATTGATTAAAGCCCAAGAGCTCACAGGGAAACATTGAGTTAGCATGACAAAGCGGTTTTGGTCAATTGCGCATTAAATCTTAAAAATAGTATCCCCTGAAATATCTTAAATAAAATTCATTGTCGTTGTTACGATAGTTAAAGACAAATTTTGAGCAGGTGAGAAAACGAACGAAGTTATCAAATTTTCCAATGTATTTATGTCCAAACGGTCACTGTCTTTTATTGTTTTTTAACTTGCATTAGCAGTCATTGATTTGATATTTTGACACTCTCAAGCCAGTTTTGCTGTTCCCTGTTCCGTTATTGCTTAGAAGTAGATTGCAACCTTTATTTTCCACCTTTTCTCCTTCAATTTGAAATTTAAATTGCGCCCTAATTTTCCTCTCAACCTTCTTAAATCGTTACTGTTTAGAAGCAAGATATTTTTTTACAGGACCACATTTTACTTCCTTGCCTTATTTTGCTATTTACGTTGATTTTCTTTAATTTGGATTTAATGGTATCTAGTTATCCAGCCAAAGTTTTATTTGAAATACGTATTTCCTCTCAAAACCCTGTGTTTTTGTGCTAATAGATTTGCATTGCATGATGAGTTTCTGAGCAAGTTTTTCGCATATTAAACTTTATTTCTTTAATAATTTTCAAAAGCTTCTAACGACGGCAGGTCGACGCGCCAGCGATCCTCGCAAAACTATCGACGTTCTGAAAATGAAAATATTTTTAGCTGATTATTATTATTACTCATTTTCGCGTGTGTATTAAAAGGCGGGTGGGTGAGCAGACGTTCGGACGCTTTTACGCAGTGTTCGTTAATCATTTAGAAAACACAGGTGGATATACTTGATGAAAATTGTGTGAAGGAAAATGGCTTCGAAAGTTATCGCTAAATTGCCTGTAGCACCTTTTGGGCAGGTGAGTTTCACTCATTCAAATCATTGCAATATGAAGATTGGTAATCTGCGTTGAGAACCGCGAATGGACCAACCACACATACAAATACTGCAGAATTTGAAAATAATTATATAAAAATATACTTTCAGGTTAACAAAACGAAGTCAGGAGCAGTGAGTAGCGAACTAATTGTACCCAAACTTCAGGAAGTTCAAAGAAGCGATGATGAGGCCTCCAGAGCACCGGAACAAGTTCGCTTGGAGCAAAATATCCGATTTTTGCAAGATCAACACCAGCTAATGCTGGCAGGATTACATGGGGAGATTGAGAAGTTAAAAGCCCGAAATCGAGGTAACTTAAGGTTCTAGCAAATCAGGCAAGTTACGAGCAATTACTAATATTGCAGATCTTCAATTTCAACTAATCTTTGGCAAGCCGCCTACTGCTTCAACCCCAGCATCCAGTTCCCCATCTCCCTCATCCCCCGAGGAGGAGACTAGGAGTAAGGTAAGACGTAAAAGTCTTCACAACGCAACACATTGATAACCCGTGTGATTTAGCTGTATACAAGCCCTCAAAGTGTTACCAACAGCACTCCATTGCAAATCGAGCTACTGGAGAAGGAACTGGGAGAACTAAAGATTCAAATGCAAGAGCAAGAAAGCCGAAACCTTTACCTTTCAGCCATAGTAGACGAACAAAAAAAGTAAGTTTGTACGATGATAAAAACCAACAGGAAATATTTTTTTGCAATTGTAGAAAACTCGAACGCTACGACCGCCGCGTGGAAAAAGAGCAACAACGCACTGGCGGCGCAGGAGACCCGGAAGCTGAACTGCGACGCAAATTGGAGGACGCAGATGCAGTTGTGCGACTTCTGCGTCGAGAGAACTCCGATCTGCGCAGAGAAAATCAGGGAATGAGCGAAGCGGCTGTGCATATTCCCCAAGTTGCGCACAGTCATCAACACAATCGGGAAAACGGGTATGTTGTTTTAAACCATCTGGAGTCAAATTCTACTGAAACATTTTCAAAAGTTTTCAGTCTCCTCGAGGACAAGGCCATAGAGGAGGCAGTGGAAGAGGACATCGTTCCAACAATGGACACAATAGTCATTACAACAATCGAGGAGGATGGTTTCCGCCGCTTCATCAGCAGAATTTTTGGCAAGGTAAAACTGCAGAAATTTAATTTGCCTGGTTACTTTTTGAGTATTTGTAGGAGGAAGGACACAGCAACACGAACGCCAGAACAACGGGACGCAAGATCAGGTTTCAAATTTGCCCGATATTCCCTTAAATGAAGGCTGTTCAGTTCCGCAACAGTACCATGGGCCAGGCAGAAAAAACTCCAACAACAACCACTATCACAATGGTGACGGGAAGAAGTATAGAAAGGGCCACCACAAAGGAAATAAACCGTCTTAATATTTCCCGGGTTTCGTAGAGTTTGCATCATTCAATGGTTTTCTTTCTAAAAAGCCTGAACGCAACCAAATCTCCTTTCGGGCTGCCAAAGATTCGCTCAAAATGCTCCCATCAAGCTGTTTACTCACAACAAATTGACTGATTCTTCGAGCACTTTGAATGAAAACGAAATATGTGCTACTTATAGTAACCCTTAGGCATGGCTATTGATGTTACCACATATTTGCCCTGGGAGGATTCCTTAGAGCAATGAAAGACAGTAACATTCAGCTAGATCTTTCGTGAAAATCCCACGCGTGCAGTCGAATTGTGAAAGGAATCCTGGAGGAAAACGTACAGGTCTTAAACAGCAATACTAGGATAAACATTATAAGGTGGCTTTTATTAGAAACCTTGCTACCAGCCTGAATAATTAGTTAAAACCACAAAAAATATATATTTTCTCGAAATTACTTGGAATGTTATGCCAATGGCAGCCCATACAAAGTTAGGAAATTCTATTCGAAAGAAAAATTTGCTCTTTAAAATATTAGGCAAAGATTCATGTACCGAGTGACTTGAATTCGAACGCATGTGAACAGAATTTTCAAAATTTCAACATGTTTGCTGTCTTCTTTTCGGATCATTTTAATTAGTTGAAATAAAATGTAGAATTCAATTTATTTTTGTCTTCAACTAATAACTTTAATGTATATTTAGATAAACTCTGTTAATTTTCAGCTGCAGTAGTTTCGAATTTAGTGCACTCGACAGAACGGTAAAATTTAAATACATGTTATATATTTGTTGAACAAAATTTTAACACGTGATATATAGATGCTTTGCCAAGACTGTAACGTTTAAATATTTTTAGAATTGCTACCTTACGGGTTTTAATCAATTTTTATATTGGACTTTTCAAGCGCCTACCTGCACTGATTTTACTTAATAGTATTTGAAGAATGAAATAATTTCATTTATTTTTGCTGAACTGACTGATATTGAATATTCTAACAATAGCACAGCTTGTTGACAACATTAAAACCAAATTATATACCAGATGAGCCATTAAAGTTTTTCATGTTCTAATAATCTATCCAAAGATAATAGATTAGAAAAATTCCATACATCTACGCAATTTAAGATAGAATATCCAAGCTTAAGGCTTTCATCGAGCATTTGGCATATAATCAAATATACTGGGTGTGCAGAAAATACCATAACTATCCAATAAGCTTAAAGTCTAGAAAATTGACCATTTAACCAATATGTCCTAGAAATATCCTACCGTTTGGAAATAATACATTTTGTTTCCAGAACGCTCAGATCACTTCCCATATATCGAATTTACATACTTTCATATGTTATGGCTTATTTAAATTCAATTGTTCCTTTAATAAGCAACCCCATTTATCAATCTTGATTACTAAATGTCTAGGTACTTGTTGTTAGCTTCCGGAAATAAATAATATTTATTCAATGATATTATATATCGATGTTTTACCTAACTTACTAAACATGTGTACCTAAGGTTAATTTTTGTCTCAATTGAACGAGTGCGGTTTAAACGATCGCTGATAGCTACGGTAAGTCGGCAACTTAAAGGAAAAAGCAAAAGATGAGGCAAAAATTAATAAGACAAACTTTCAAACTCTATTTAAAAATCTATATAGAAATATTGCATGTATTATTGATTGTGTGATAGATAACTACTGAAAAATTAATTTTACTGGGACTATTTATGACTATTAACTAGATATACTTGCGTTGGGTACTTTGATAATAAATATAGATGGTCGCGTAAAAAATATTCAAAATTGTTAATCTTAAACATATTTGGTAAGAAATGATAACTACTACCTAGTCTAGCTGTGATTGCACTCGTCAGTACTTTTAATCTCTTCTATATTATATTTATTTTTCATTCTAGAACGTAATAAATATGAAATACAAATAATGTAATTTTATTTTACGTAAATATACATTATGGCATACAATTGGGGTTTTTGTTCCACCGTGTTTATGCCAATATCCCATTTTCTTTACGCTGCTGATAATTTTCATTGCTTACCTTGAAACAATCCATTAACTTCAAGGTGGGCATTGATTACTGAAATTCAACCAAACTGCGTTTTCTTCATGATGTTTACTTGCTTTGCTCATTAACCGATTATAATTTTATTAATATAGTTGGATTTAATGAATCAGGCGGAATAAACTGTAACGTTATTATTAATGTTCCGCCGCTTAGACTTTCTCACCTTGTAATTTGCTGTTAAGTTGAACAGTTGCAAATTGCATTCAGAATGGTTTAGATAGATAGATAACCAATTAGCATAGACTGATATTTACGCTAGTGAATAGTAGTGAATAGATAGAAGTGCGCGTAAGTATCGGGCTGTGTTATTTCAATTAACATTCTTAAGCCGGAATGAAGCTAATTTTGCCTGATGGTTTCTTCACATATTTCGCCGCATTTGCAGGTAAATGGAAATCCATTTTTTGTGCCCAATAAAACTATATCTAATTAACAGAAGCTTACAACTCTTAATTGTTAAAATACCTTGATGGATAATAAAACCTACTTTATGCATGTTAACGTAACTATTGTTATCAGCACAGCAGGAAAATGGCACGAATTTTCGAACCATCTATTTCGTATGTGGTAGGTATAATGTCATCTCTCGTTGATCTATTTTAATAATTTCCTTATCTTTCACTTAAAACTTCTGGTTTTTCCGATTTTAATGCTTTTATGCAACTTTAAATGAGCAGAAAGCAACAACAGCGGTTTTTTCGAAAATTTGCAGATAAATAGAGCTTCCGATTTAAAAAATCCGATTTATACTTCCGCAGGAAGACGCTTACGTAAACAGGCAAAACGTTTGATTTTATATTATAGAAAAAAAATTAATGTTTCAGTCAATCTTCTAAGTTACGGTGGAGGTTTAGGATATGGTTGGTCTTCGCCAGCGTTGCCCAAACTGAGCGGCAGAGTGCATCCAGAAGACAATCCACTAAGACATCCGACTTCAGTGCATGAAGAATCATGGATAGCGTCCCTTTTAAGGTAGCATTTAAAGTTTTCCTTTCGCTATTAATGTGGATTTTTCAAGTCGCTTTGATCGGTTTCAGTTTGGGTGCAATGATCAGTCCAATCTTTGCGGAACTATTGTGCGAAAAAATCGGCCGAAAGCGAACGCTTCTGCTGTTTTCGCTGCCCATGCTGATCGGAAACTTTATGATGATTTTTGCGCACAGGGTGTTTCATTTTTATGTCGCCCGATTCCTTATAGGGGTAGGCAACGAACTGACCAAAACGATTTCTTCTAGTTACAAGTAGTTTAACTTTTTCAGCTAACCGAAGGGTGTATTTTTGCAACAATTCCCGTTTACTCTGCGGAAATATCCGAGAAGCACAACCGAGGCACATTAGGCGCTATAATGTTGCTGTTCGTCTCACTAGGACATCTCACTTCAAGTATCGTCGGCCCGAGAGTGTCCATAAGAACTTTGAGTATAATTTCCTTAATGCCTTGCATATTATTCCTGCTGATTTTCGGGCTGCTTGTACCTGAAACGCCCTATTTCTACGTGCTGGTGAATAAGGTGGATGAGGGCAAAAATTGCCTGCGGAAGCTTCGAATGCGAGATGATGTCGATGAAGAAATGGATGATATAGTGAAGGCAGTGATGGAGCTGAGAAGCGCCGAGGATAAAAATGCCCTGAAGGAACTGCTGACTAATAAGTATTCAGTTAAAGCGTTCATTCTAGCGCTGGTTTTAATGCTGCTGCAACAGTTTACTGGGTTGATTTATGTGGTTGATTACACGCAGCATATTTTTGATTTTGCGCGCACTCCGTTATCGGGGGATGTTGCTGTGATTCTGGTCAGCACTGTCCAGGTGCTAAGTATAGCAACTTCCGCTAACATAATCGACCGAGTTAATAGGAAAACGCTCCTTCTTGTATCCCTGATTATAATATTTTTGCTGCAAACCACCATGGGTTCTTTCTTTTATCTGCAGCAGGAAACTTTCGAAGATCTACGCTCAGTTTCCTGGATACCCATCGTTTGCCTCATGCTCTTCATTATGGCCTTCCAAATGGGAATCGGCCCAATTTCCTACATTTTTCCTGCGGAAATTTTGGAGCCAAACGTTAAATCTCTGGGCACCACTCTTGTTATTTCCATCGGGTTACTGGGCGAATTTGGCATCGCCACCTTGTTTCCAATGGTAGCCGTTCGCATCGGTTATTATATTCCGTTTGTTATTTTTGCCTGTTTGTCGGGTTTTGCGGTATTTTTTGTTATGTGGTTCCTACCGGAAACTAGGCAAAAAAGCTTTCTGGAAATCCAGGAAAATATTAGAAATAAGAGTAGCTGATTGATGATAGGTTCATTTCAATTTAATGTTGGTTACATTTAGTACAAAGTTTTTTCGTCAAAGTCGGGCCTTAAAAATGCCTGCTTTGTTAAATCAGGGGATTTACGAAATATGCGTGTGAAATCACGCGTTTTCCTATATAAGTTGATGAATAAAATCAGGTAGAGGTCCCGTGACTAATATACGATTAAGTAGATATAGAGTTTTATTTTTTTTACTCCGATAAATTAGTTGGGTACAGTTTGGGGTTGAGATCAATAATAAACAACAAACCAAACATTATATAAAACAAACATAACTTCTTAGTGCGGAAGCTTAGTTAAACAGACGAAACGTCGACATGTGTGACTAAAAACTTTTGCTTATTAATGATGCCAACCCATATTATGTGTTTAGTTTTGACTAAACACATAATTATTTTATTAGGCGGATATTGAAATTTCTCACTGTTTTAAGAGTATTTTATATATTTTTTAAAATATTATTTAGTTGTATTTGCTTACGCGGATGAATTGTATAGACGGTTTAGTCTTAGTAGGCGAATTGATTTTAAACAAATAGGGGAAGTAAAAACAATTGGAAAAATATGTTTTCGGTTGAATTAAAATCGTGAAAAAAATTGAATGGCAACAGTTGATGAGAATTAATTTCGTGTAACGCACCGCGTATTAATTTATATCGATTCGGCTATTGAACAGTTAATTCATTGGCAATCGAAACCGTAAACTTCCAACTTTCTATTTTATTTGATTCAGCAAACCTTTAAAAAAATTAGCATAAATGTTTCAATTTCAGTTGTGTTTTTTATGTGTTTAGTATACTTTGTCGGAGGAAATAATGAAATGTACTGATATTATTTTTTTGCATAAATCACATATGAGAAACGATGAGACTGTTAATTTTTTAAATGTTGTTACCCCGCAAATGAATAAATGCACCCAAGAACATCCCATTTCGTGGCATCAAGGTCCTGAAGTGTCGTTTTCATATACAAAAAACGACCTTTAAATCTTTCCTATTCGACCCTTATTTAATTAACTTACCCATGCTCTAATCCATCTTCATCTATACCGTTTACCGACGAATCCAATGCGTTCATTAGACTTTACAACCAACAAAATTATCTTCCTACATGAAGTCACGCTGTCGAAATTGTGAAGGAACAATTGCCTACGTCGGATAGGTAAATATCATATCATGTACGGAAGACTCCATCCGTACATGCAGATCACTCAGCCTAAGGAGTAATTTACGATGCAATAAAGCAAACATCGAAACTCCATCACTTAGACAAAACTAACAATCAGAGCAAATATTAATTTTTGGCCAAAGACCGAGAATGTGTAACTGTTTAGCCTTCGGCTTTATTGTTACTACATGCATAATCTATGTCTGATACTTAATTAAACAATGAATTGAATGGCCCAACCGATATAAAAACGGCTTGTGCAAAAATGGTCGTTAAATAAGAATTGCCACATAACTGAAAGTGTTCTGCTCTCGTTTTCATCAAAATTAACAGTTAAGTTCTATCCGAATACCGGTCCATTTGGATTCTAGTCTGTTAGTTAGAAACGGGTGTAGATTTTCCGGAAACCAATATGCCAACCCAAACCCAATCGAAAGGCACCAGCTATTTCATCTACTTTGCAGTTTTTTCAGGTAATTAACATTTTGCTTTATTGGAACGGTGTTGGATAATTGAATTGTTTTCAATGTTAATTGATCAATTTTTGTGTTTTTTAGTCCATTTGCTATTTTTATGAACGCGTATTTTCAATTTTTTGCAAGGTTCAAAGAAATATAGAACAAACCGGAATATAAGCGTTTCAAAAAATTTATCGAAATAATTGAATGGCTAAAGTTACTTTAGCTTTGTTAAATACATTTAGCGAAATGTGTTTTTGGCGAAATAATTCAAGAAAATTATAATATGCGGACACATTCATGCGCTTAAATGAAGCCCTAGAAAAGCAGCATTTTCCAATCGTTTGTTTTCTTTGATGCCAAACCTATGCATTAAAATTGTCAATAACTTTTATAAGACACTTTATTAAGACATTGCATATAAGGAATTCAGTTGTACACAGTTCGTCAGCCGTTACTCTGTATAATCAATATAAAATTGTATCAACTGTTTAAACTATTTGTGATATTTAGGAAAAGTTTTAAATTATTTTCGGCTTTTTCAATAGTAAGTTTTTCAAAAAAACTGATTGGAAAAATACCAACAGTCCAAAAGTGGTACAATTGAAAATTAGCGAAAAATGCTCTTACCTGATGACTCTCCATCTCTCAATCTTCAAAATAACTCTCAAAGTTCCCTCGTAACTGCACATGCAAAGCAATGTCAAAATTATCCGGAGAACGGATGAATCTGACAGCAAACGTCAGAAAGGTCTCAACTTGAGAAATTGCGTTTGTTTCGTCAAAATCGCGCTACCGAACAAAAAAGTAACACAGAACAGTGAAGCAAAACCTGAGCTTTGGGTTGATCTACACTTTTCCACTGAAAAGTGAAAATATCTTACGAATTTTCGAAATCTTGATCGAGCGAACTGCGTTCATTGCGTCCGATCCGTCACTGACTGAATGCAAAATGACATGACAAGATGACTTTGGCTTAAAATGACACTTTGAAAACATGTACATTATTTCGCTCCTGTAAAATATTTTGACTGCAACGTTGCGGTTGGTAGTATATCGAAATATTTTCGGCCAAACGCTGAAAACGGTTGGCGATACTAGTAACCGAAACGTTGTGATAAAACATTTTACATGGGCAAAATAAAGTGCATGTTTATAAGAACAAAACCGTTCAAAATCTCTTACTATTTCAAGATCAAGATTTTTCTGTCTTGACCGAACAAATTGCGCACACGGTTTTTAGCAACAAAACACCATAAATTTACCTTCCAAAGATTGTACTCTAGTATGTTGCTCATTCCAGTCAACCTGATCACATTTTCTGCTGGTGGCTGTTGGTCATGGACATCCCCCATACTGCCCAAGCTCAACAGTCCGGATCCAGCCATCAATCCACTGCCCCGACCAACCACAACCTTTGAAGACTCCTGGATTGCGTCCGTCATGAACTTAGGAGCCATAGTTGGGCCCCTGGCCGGAGGATTCTGCTCAGAGAGGTTCGGGAAGAAGAAGGCGCTCCTGATTCTGGGCTTACCCATTGTCATTTCGCATCTGCTCTGTGCCCTGGCAGTGAACGTGCATTTTTTCCTCGCTGCCAGATTTCTCATTGGAATTGGGGCTGGAACCGTATTTGGAGTCGTTCCTGGATACGTAGGAGACATTGTTGAAGACAGGCAAAGAGGAGTCATGGGCAGCATGCTGGGAGTCTTCAATTGCTTCGGCGTTCTCTTCATGTACTTAGTGGGCCCTTTCGTTTCAGTCCAGCTATTCAGCTTAATTAATCTTATTGCGCCGATTCTCTTCTATATTCTGTTTGGGTTCTTCGTCCCTGAAAGTCCCTATGACTTGGTGAAGCAAGGCAAGGAAGAAAGCGCGGAAATCAGTTTGATGAAACTGAGAGGCCGGGAGGTAGCTGGGGATGTTCAAAAGGAACTAACATACATCACAGAGAGCATCGATAACTCCTCAGGCCAACCGAGCACCATTTGCAGCCTGTTCCAGAACAAGGCTCTGAGGAAAGCGATGTTGATTAGCAACGGGCTCATGTTCTTCCAGCAGTTCTCTGGAATATGCGCCGTCATCGGCTACATGCAGACCATCTTCGAAATGACTGGAAGCTCCATTCCCTCCATCTACTCGGCGATTCTCATTGGCGCTGTCCAGCTGCTCTCTAATATCGCCAGCTCTCAATTGGTGGAAAAGGCCGGCAGGAGGGTGCTCCTGGTAGTCTCCCATCTGTTTTCCGCGGTATCTCTCATCACTTTGGGCGCCTATTTCTTCTTGATGTCGTCCGGGTTCTACGTGGAGGAAATCAGCTGGCTTCCCATCACAAGTCTCATCCTGTTTATTGTGGCCTTCAACCTGGGCCTGGCCAATCTTCCTTGGGTCGTACTGGCTGAATTATTCCCGGCCAATATGAAATCGATCTCCGCCACTTCGACCACATTTTTCAGTTTCACATTGTCGTTCGTTGTTACGATGGGCTTCCCATTCGCTACAGAACTGCTGGGAATGCCTGGAACTTTCTGGACTTTCTCAGCAGTTCTGGTGGCCGGGTTTCTGTTCTGCATTGCTTTGGTGCCGGAAACAAAGGGCAGGACCAGCCAGGAAATACAGAATCTTCTAGAAGGACTGAAAAAATAGGGGAGGTGAGAATTGTGACTACTGAACGTGTACCTGATTTGTTTTGTAATGCTCCACGGGAAAAAATGCCGGTTGGGAGATTGACTGTGGCTGTCCGAGTGTCGGTTGGGATGAAATAAACACCTTGGAAGTCATAGTTTGGGGTTTTTATTGTTCTCCCGCACAATCACTTTTCGCTAAGAATTTTCTGAATTTCTATGGCGCTTTTCCCTTTAGTCTCCACTACAACATAGTGAATGAATATGATGCCCAGAACACAACAAAGGCCGAACAGCCAAAACGACTCGGCCATTCCGAGCAGTTCGCTTAGCACTGGGAAAGCGAAAGTGACTAAGAAAGAGCTTAGGAAGCAAATGGCTGCTACCATTGAGGATGCGGTTGATTTTACGTTGTCTGGAAACACTTCACAGAGCACAGTCCATGTGACTGGGCCAAGGCCCAGGTTGAAGGAAACAATGTAGAGGAGCAGGCAGGAGATGGGCAGCCACCAGAAGTATTCTAGAAGCCTGAACTCGTGCTTGTGGAGGAAAAAGTACAAACCAAGCACCAGAATGGAAGCTGCAGAGCCGATGGCTGAGACCAAGAGAAGAAACTTCCTGCCCAGCTTGTCTATGAAGGAAGATGTGACAAAGACTGTAGCCACTTGAATGACGCCCACTAAAGTCGTGGCAGCTTGTGGAGGAATGCCGTCTCCCGACGCTCTGAATATGTTCTCCATGAATCCAATCACAGCGTTTATTCCAGAAAACTGCTCCAAAATCAACAGTACGGCGGATATCAAAAATGCCCTTTTCAACCCCGTTGATCGGAATATTTCCTTAACACCTCCTTTGGATTCTTTGTGGATTTCCTCAAGTCGCTGCAGATCCGCAATGGCTTCACCTGCCTGCCCCTTTGAGAGCAAATGCAGGTTTCTTAAGGCCGCTTCAGCTTCTTCGAGCCTATTTATTCTTACCAGATACGAAGGGCTGTCTGGGGCGTATAAGGCGAAGAAAATTACAAAAATCTGCAAAGGTAAAAGACACGCCAAGCAGAATATCCGCACGCATAAAACGCTGCCGATTGAAAAAGAGCAAAGAACCCCAAGCGACACAAATAGGCCCTGAATGCAGCTGAATTTCCCTCGGTTGTGGTCTTCAGTAATTTCCCCAGTGTACATGGTTAATACTGTGAAAACACCCCCACTACCCAACCCATATAAAAACCTAAAATTAAAAAAAACCCATAAAAATATTGAATAAAGTCAATGTCTTCAGCCCTACCTGCCCAAATAGTACATTCGCACTTGATCAGTGAAGGCCAGAATAGGCATTCCTGCTACCATAGGGACTGCCACGGTAAGCAGCGTCTTTTTCCGGCCGATTTTATCTGCAAGATGGCCAAATAGAAACGCACCAAAGGCAGCCCCTATACATAAAATAGACGTGATTAAGCTCTCTTGGAACGTATCTATGGAAGTATTTAGGGGGCTGTTTGGTCCATGGAGCTTCGGAAGCACTGGGGAGGTCCATGATAGGCCGATTCCTGCATTCAAAGCCAGCAGATCACCTAAAAGTTTTTATAAGGTTTCATCTTTTTGCGTTTTATTGATTCAATTTTTCACGTTTTTCATCTTTCGGTGTCGTCAGGGCCGACAAAGATTTTAAGCTCATTAGCCTGAGCTGGGTTTAGCCCGAAAATTACTTGTTTTTTTTTTCACCCATGTGAACCCCCCATTTTTTGTGGATACTTCCAACCGAAACTTTGTGCTGAAAGCATTTTATTTGGGCCAAATGAAGTGCGGGTTGCGGTAGTGTTATTTTGAGGCTAAACCTTGTCGGTAGATAAGCGAGTTTCTTGGATAATTCTTGATTGAGACGCAGTTTCGGCTTAATTTCAAATAGATAGAGAAGATTCTTTTGTGGACTTTGCCAAAATTTTGAAAAATTCCGGGATATGATTTGGTCTGGAGAAAAATTTGCAATTTGTATGGTGCTAAAAGGAATTTGCGCGCAATTAGTTTCCAATGGAAAAAAATCATTACTTACGGATTAGAGGCTCAAATGGTACAAAATTAGTTTCATATGTAAACCGAGATTGGTGTTGTCGATTTCCAAAAGTTCCTTTCTACTAGCGCAAGTGGTTGCTCAGAAACATGCTTCAGAAAGGCATGGGACAATACAGACAAACCGCGCAAAGTATCGGAAAACTTTAAAAATTCATTTTGTGGGAGCTGATAACTCGGTGCAATGCGAGTTCCAGTGACAAATAAACTGAAGCTTCCTCTATCTAGACCTAAAACATTCATTCCGTTGTGTTCAGTGGTTGCTCAGAAAAAAGACTTAGACGAGCATGGTGTAAAAGGGGAAAACTGCGCAAGAACTCTCCAAAGTCACAAAGTTCGTTACGTACGAGCCAGAGGTTCAAATGATGCAAAATTTATACCAAAAATAGCGAAGAATATTGCCAAAGCTTCAACATTTCTTATAAAGAAGTTAGTAACTGCGATCAATCGCACTTCAAGTCGTATATAAACTAAACTCTTCTGTATCTGCTGGTAACATCCCTATTCCGGTGCTTTGAGTAGTTGTTCAGAAAAAAGCGGCAGAAGAGCATAGTGTAAAAATCACAAACGGCGCAAAAAAATCGAAAAGTTTAAAAAATCCTTCTGTAAGCACTAGATATTTATATCATTGCAAATTCTAGGCGAGACAACAGCGCCATCATCAGATTTAAAATTCAACACAAACCCATAATTGGGAAACATTAGATTCTTTTTAGGTTTGGCTGAAACCTAAAAAGAATCTAATGTTTCCCAATTATGGGTTTGTGTTGAATTTTAAATCTGATGATGGCGCTGTTTTCTCGCCGAAACGTTATGTGAAATAAACGATATGAACATTTTCATTTCACATTTTGACTGAAACCCAGGAAAGAAAAAATATAATAACAATTACACGCAGTCAGGAAAATAAATGAAAACAAACTTTAAATTAAGCTCAACTATTTTTTGCTTATTTAACTTTAACTAATTCTGTTTAGATCGGTGAAAGACGAAAGATAAAATATGGCAAGGCAAATTCATTTTACTTAATGAAAGATGAAACTTACTAAATATGAAAGCTATTCATGTTTTCTATTAGATGGGCAAACATGATTTTTTGGAGATAAACGTGAAGCGAAGAAGCGCCGCTGCATTTCGAATTTTTGAATCGCTTCGAGGTTACAGCAGTGATTTAACCCCAAACGCAGAAATAAATCTGGCATATAAAAAAATATACGAGCATATTCAAACGTGTAACTTACCTCTTTCGACATTAAAAAAGTGGATACCACTCAACTTACCAATAAGAGCTGCTCTATATAAGTAAAATGAGTTGCCAGAGGTGGGCTCATTCGGCCTCAAGCTTTGATAGTCATTCAATTTTTGTTCGTCGCTCATTGTAGTGGCCGAATAAACGACTTCCTTGCCATTATTGAAATTGCTTAGATCCTTTTTAGTTATATCTATACTAGTATCGTCCGCATTTTGCTTCATTTTAATTTCCCCTATATAAAACTCCTCTGTCGGCTGGAGGTTAAAATAGTCTTAAATAGAAACCTTAGACTTCTTGCAGCAATGGCGCACCTTTCGTAAAACATTTGTACCGCCAAGTTTTTCAAGATTCTTCACCTTAACTAAATTATTACGAAAACACTCAACATACACGTCTAATGAAACTGGCTAATAGATGTATTGTTCTACACTAATCCGTTGGCCAATATTTAACCACATTCAGGTCTATATAAACTATATCTCCGAAACAATTTAAATGGCATTAAGACTGGGGATCTACAAGACAAAGCTTTTGTTTGAAAATTTCTATATATTTATACAAAAACTCACATAACGAAATAGGCACCAAACCAGCAGCACCCTGTTACGAACAGCCAATCAATTATTCTCCCTCTGTAAAATCTTCTGGATTTGCGCCAACGATTTGCCTTTGGTCTCGAACAAAACGAAATAAACGAAAAAGTAGCCGATGAAGCAGAAGAACGCGAACAGCCAGAAGCTGCCGGCCATTCCCAAAATCTCCGATAGCACCGGGAAGATAAACGTGATCAAACAGGCGCTTAGAAACGAAATTGTAGACGACATTGCAGATGCCACGCCTTTGATGTTGGATGGGAAGATCTCTCCCATTACGGTCCATGGAAGCGGGCCCAGCCCAAAGCTGAACACCAGCATATAAATGATCAGGCATAAGATCGGAAGCCAGAAAACCGGTTGCACATCAAAGCCCTTCTGTTTAAGGCAAAAGTAGACTCCCAGGACGGTCATGGAAAGGAAGCAGAAAATGCAGGAAATTAGCAGAAGTTTTTTTCGCCCCATCCTTTCCACCATGAAGATACAGGCTGTGTTGGATAAAACCTGCACAGAACCAGTGATAATTGTGCATGTGTTTGCCGGGATGGTACTTCCAGCTGCTTCATAGATAGTTTTCATGAAAGCCATCAGCGGGTTGATGCCAGCAAATTGCTGCAGAGCCACTAAGCCGAAGGAAATATACAACGCCTTGCGCCCAGATGCAGAAGTGAACAATTCCTTCACTCCTGCTGAGTTTTGCTTCTCCTGTTCAACACCTTCCCTTATTTCCGCCAATTCTAGTCGAATGTCCGAACCGGGTTGTCGCAGTTTTCTTAAGGCGGCATCCGCTTCGTCAAACTTTCCCTGAACCACCAGGTAGTAGGGAGATTCTGGCATGAATATGGTGAAAACGAACAGGAAAATTAGCAGGGGAATTGCACAAGTTATGCTGTAGATCGGAATAGAGAGATGGGGTCCAATGGAGAAGGGGTAGATTATTCCAAGAGTGATCAGGACTCCCATCGCACTGCCGAATTTTCCTCGATTGTGTGCTTGACTGATTTCTGCAACATACATGGGTGCTACTGCAAAGGCACTACCTGATCCAAGTCCAGTGAGAAACCTGGAAAATAAATTATCTGTTTTTTACAAACTTCTTTTTGGGTATTTTGCCTCAAAAATTTTTGAAAACGGAGGAATTTATGAATATTAATTAATGTGACAAAGTTGTAGGTTTATTAAAAGTAGGCGCGTTATTATATTAAAGTTAACATTATAATAAATCTGCGCATATTGATTTATAGTAATAAAGTTTTATGTTAATGTCGTCTGGTAGCTGGAGGGACAAATTGAAATGTCGTAATAAAATCAATAGTTGTGAATCAAGTCAGAGTATTTAAAGAATTTGTGATTTTTTCCCCATTTGTCGTTAAATATAAAATCTGCGTTTAGCTTAAGCTCCTGTAACAGTGAAAATCTACAGCAAAACCGACAACATTAGCGGGTTGTTTAAACGAGGAAATTGAGTGAATATTTATAAAAATCTTCAAGAGCAACAAGTTTCAAAGCTTAAAAACTGCTTGATCATCAAATTGCTAAATGATCTTTGGCAACTTTCAGCTAACGCTATTAGCTAACACTTTTATATTTATTGAATAATTAACCAAGTGGCAGCTCTTTTACATGGGTTTTGGCAAAAATTTGCACCAAATAAGAGAAGTGCCAGGAAAATCGATATCAATTCTT